GATAGATAGATAGATAGATAGATAGATAGATAGATAGATAGATAGATAGATAGATAGATAGATAGATAGATAGATAGATAGATAGATAGATAGATAGATAGATAGATAGATAGATAGATAGATAGATAGATAGATAGATAGATAGATAGATAGATAGATAGATAGATAGAAACAGTATCATGCACGATACAGCCACATAGTGCAGCAGCAATAAATAATAAACATATTAGGTGTCACAAGCTAATATTAGTCATATCAGTTGTTACAGATGTGGCTTGGTGCGATGTTATTGTCAGTTGTTCAGTATTATTTATTGAGCGTTTTCTTGTTAAGGCTTAGGGCATACTTTCATATTTCCTCTAGATGTTTCTGATTAGCTCTGTAAAATGTAGAACAGAAAGGGTCAGTCCAGTGGATTTCTGTGTACAGAGGAGAGAAACAACCGAGCTGTCCGAGTGTGCACAAAAGCTCAGGCACACAGTGTCCATGTTGGACTTACTCACGCATGGAAGTGGCGTCAGGCACCCTGTTGTCCACATGCCAGTTACTATCATACCTCCTCGGTGATGTAGCCTCCTAAACTCTGCCCTATAAAACATCCACCTGCATTTAGTAGAACTAGTTTGCACAATGTGACAATGACTTTTGTTTTGGATTTATTAAATGAATCAGCTTCATCTCTTATTTGTTTTCAGGTGCTTTCTGAAGCACAGCTGTTGCACAACATGTGATGTAGGTGCGGTGGGGGTGGACTAGCTTGTTGCCATGTCTTAAAATTTTGATCCTAAGCAGCATAAAAAACATGAATTTTACAAGTTTAATCAATTTGTCATGGAACGATAGAAGCACAAACGTGTCTTTACTTTGCTTTTAATGCATTCTGTATTGACGCAAATGGGATCTTTTGTACAAGTTTATAGTTTTTAAACCAAAGACTATGAACTTTAAGAAACAAATCCATCACAATAGCACACAGTCGAACTACGCTGACCATTAGGTGTTTGGTTTGCTGGTTTAAAATTCTTACTGACCGTAATCAGATTTGAAAGTTTAATCAATGTGTTTGTGCAGGAAATATTAGTGATGTAACAGTATGCTAAGATCACGGTTCAGTGAGCACCTCGGCAAGAGAGTCCCAGTTTGGTACACTTTATTTAAACAGTCAATAACTCTCCCACATGCAGAGATAAAAATAAAATAAACAACCCTTGATAGTGGGGAGGGTCTGAGGTTGCAAGTCATGCAGAGAAAGGCAGGATTTATCAATTGGTTTATTCATAATTATGTTGAAAAATAAAAAATAAAACTGACATTGAGCAGTTTTTTTTTTTTTCATCCAATTTGAATTATAAAAAATGTCCAATGTGACAAGCAGGAAGTTTAGTTCATTCCTCAAAAGTATTCCTCTCCTGGGCTTTGTATTACAAAAAGAAAACAAAACGTAAAGCGAGTTTGCTTCAATTATTTTGCCCTGAACGATGCAAAATAAGACAGTTAAGAGCGTAACGTTTCTTGGTGAGATAATGCAAAATATATAAAACGTGAAACGCACCAAGCTTCTCAGCAAGTGAGTGCTAGTGTGAAAATGACTCATGATATCACACATATCAAATAAATACACAAATAGCCTTCCATTAGCAATTGTGAAGCACTCAATATAAGACATAACAGCTTTCCATAAAGACTTCTGTCTCCCTCTGCAGCAGTCTGTATTTGTGACCACAGAGGTTTTCCATGCAGCTGATTTGAGTCCAACTGGATCTGAACCAGCTCTTCACGCTCTGATGTAGAATATCTTCCACTGCTTCTTTTCAGTCGTGGCTCATAGCAAAATGCACGGAGCCGTGATCACCTGTTACTACTTTATTTGTTGCGTACTTGTCAAACTTCTGACAGTTCAGTAGGAATACACTGTTCCACTCCTAACACTGTTTAAAAGTGAACACATTTCTGTTAAAAGGCAAGCAGGCAAGGAGCTCGTGACATTTCCTGAACACGTCTCCTCCTTTGGCAAACTTAAAGTCATTTTTACTCAGGATTGGTTGAGTTTTCGATAAGGCATGATTCTTTAGATAAGTAACCCTGATACGCCAGACGCTCTCTGATCATCCTGCCCTACTTTCTTTTGTTCTGCGCTGATCGGTGCGAGCAGCAGAACCCTGGATTACACCTTGTTGCAGGGAGAGCTGGATGCCCTGTGGTCCCCCCTCCACAGTGGGTCCTCTCTGCACCAGCTGGGCAGGTCAATGAGCAGGTCAGTCGTAGGCCTCTCAGCCTCTTCTCTGGAGGGTGGCGCAAGTTGCTTTAGACAATGTCTCGTCGTGGACTTTGCGCTGCTCCCCTCAGAAAGGCTTTAACAGAGGAAACTCCAAGTTTCAGAGTCATGTCCTGCTGCTCACAACTGCTAACTTTCTCGTGAGCTTGTAAATACCATCTGCTCTGCCCTTCTGGGTTCAAGCTTAGTTTGAGTCTTCAAAATCTAGGAAGTGAGGGAACATCTGTGTTCATGCATCATGCCATGTTACTGTCACTACACGCAGAAGAATACATCAACTTTCTAAATCATGTTTAGATTGATTTCATTTTGTCTGGTTACAACGTTTCCTTTGCTTTTGGCACCATGAACACACACGGGCTCCGTCTGACGTCACAGGCATTTCATGCTCTGCTGCTGTAATGACTGGATCCAGGAATTAGCTGAAACAGAGACCACATTGGGACTTGTGATTATGCATAAATTTTAGTGAAATAGACAAATGTCTTGAACTGCAGACATGCTCTCCGGTTATTTCTGCTTTAATTCCTGGTTTTGCAGATCGCTCATTTTCAGCCCCAGTTTGTGCTGCCCCTCAGTGATGGTGTGAGAGCATCAGCTTTTAGTCCATCCTTATTTTGTCTTTTTTTTTTTTCCAGATTCAAAACAAATGTGCTTTGTCTTGTTTTTTCACTCGTCTCTTTACTTTCCAGCTGTCTTCCGTCTCTCAGAGAGATGTCCAGTAATCGCAGCCTGGACAACCTGGACTGTATCGGAGGAACATCGTGGGACGAAGACAGCTTCAGCCAGGCCGGCAGCACTTTGGGCAGGCGGAGTTGCATAGAACAGGTTAGTCTTTTATTCAAAAGGTGAACTAAATATATAATCACCCTCTTTTTTAATGCATTTGTATTTGATCATAACACGCATCACTTAGCCCTGAGCACAATTTCTTCTTTCAAAAGACCAGTCATTTTTTAAAATGCTGCTTTGTCTGCTTTGAGCTGCTCCCTGTGATTTATATCTTCACAGGTTCAGCTAAATGGCTGTAGCATAATGAGTTCATTGAGAACAAAGCATCCCTGTTTCTGCCTGTCTTGTGGTAATGTTAGTACCTCAAGATGAATGGATGGCATTAATGGTTCTAGTTCATCCACTGGCAGAGCAGCTATTAGTTTCCTGATGACAGTCACAGATGAAGATTAGTTGTGTCAACTCATTCAGATTTTCCTCCATTAAATGGATCACACACAGATGATTTGCCTCTAATCTCTTACAAATCGCTCCGTTACAAGTTTGCTTTACATATTAGTCTTTCTCTTAAATATACATGAAAAGCAACAAAGCAAACCAGCACTGTTGATTTCAAGTTGATGCTTTTTTTTTTTAACTTTGTGTAAAATAAAATTGGTTTTAAAAAGGAAAATTAAAATTTGTTTTTTGCTGTTTTTTTACTTTTTTTTTTTTTTTTTTTGCATAAATGCAAAACATGTGAGGAGGCGTATTTGCTGCGTCCTCTGCTTCAATTTTATCCCTTTTGGTTCTGACTCGTGCATTCACTTCTTTACGTTTTTCGCTTTGTCCGTGAGTCATCAAAATGTCATTTTTACTAAGTCTTGTTTCAGTCAGTGAAAGCTGGTTTATAACTTTCAAAAATAAACCTCTCAGATGGCTGGCCTAAAGCTGTAAAAGCATGCAGACACGTGCTCTACGACTGATGGGCATTTATTTAATATTAACACGTTTTTATACCAGATCAAATCTGGACTCCGTCAGTATCATTCTTGTCTTTTCTTTTGCCAAGCTGCGAGATTTGGAAAAGGGTCATCGTTATGAGGATAGAAGCTCAGAGTCTACCTTCAGAGATCTCCATTCTCAGGACCACTCAGAGCCTCCAGATCTACCCATGCCCACGTGCTTCAGATCTCGCAGCCACAGCTACCTGAGAGCCATCCAGGCTGGCTGTTCCCAAGATGACGACACAGCTTCCATAGACTCGGGCTGCTCGCCGCCTCCGATCGACTCCACCGTTCGAACATACAGCACCAGCACCGGTGAGCGTTCTTCTTTTTAAGCCTTACCCTCAAAAATGTCTGCATTTGTCACCCCCTTTTCTAGTATTGCACAATCCCCTTGGCCAGCTGCTTGCTTATTTTTTGTATTTCACTTCACTTCCCTTTAAATTCTCATCACAGCCTTGGTCCTTAGTCCCTGCCATCCAACTTGCCCCCACATGTAGCTCAAATTCAGCCTTTTTTGCCCATAATAGACAACCAATGGAAGACATGGAAAGAGCAGTTTGCCTCTTACCTGATAGCCACTGGCTTGGACAAAGCCCCAAAGGAGAAACAACTTGCAATATTTCTTCAGCGTTTTGGGACAGACAGACCACGCATTCTACCCCCACACACAGGTAACAACTCAAAGCAACATGTCTCCCTGAAAAGAGATGATTAATTTACCACTTCTTGGGCTGATAAAAAAGAGAAAAAAAACTTTTAAAAAGTTTATATTCTGTAGGGCAGCTGTTTAAAAAAATAGACATTAAATTGCACTGATGTTCTTAATGAACATCCTGTGTAATATTAGAATATGTAATTACACTGCACGGATTAATGTAAGAAAACAACAGAAACTGAATGAGTGTAAATATAAGACAAGACACACATTTGGCCAAGCTGTTTATTATCATTATTATTAGTAGTAATAGTAGTGGTCATAGTAGTGGTCGTGTGGATTAGTGATTAATACTGTCACCTCACAACAAGAAGGTCCCAGCCTTTCAGTGTGGAGGTTCGCTCCGTGCACGTGTGGGTTTTCTTTGGGCCCCCGGTTTTCTCATGTTAGGCTAATTGGTAACTCTAAACTGTCTCTAGGTGTGAGTGAGCACATTAATGTCTTGTTTGTCCCTGTGTGTACCTGTGATGGATTTGTGACCTGTCCAGGGTGACCCCCGCCTCCCACACGGTGACTGCTGGAGATAGACACCAGCTCCCCATGACCCGGAAAGGAAAAATCAGGGAAAAATTGATGACTTATATTAATATTATTGTCAGGGTTTCAAGGCAGATCTGGACAGGAGAACCCAGTTGTGCAGGCAGGACTCAGGAGGCAGACGTATCAAATAAAATACTTTTAATAGTAATAATAATAATAAATCAAAAAGCTGACATGGCAGCAAAACTTACAAAACAGACTCAGGAACAGGATTAAACAGGATCAGACAAGACAGGCCAGGCAATACCCAACGACGAACCGACAACGACAGAACTGACAGACAGACTTTATATACACACACAACCAGGACATGACACAGGTGACAATAATCAATCAATACTGACACAAGGGGGAACAGACAGGGGAAGGCCCACTAGATTGGTGCCATCCCTACAATTATACACCTAACTACTCCACAAATTCAGAGCTGCATTAAGAATGTATTGCGTTCTGCTTCGTCATATTAAACGATGCGCCACGTGGTGGCGCTCTGCGCTGGTTTTCAAATCTAGACAGACCGTCTTGTTTGTGTTGCTTTCTGGGCAAGTTTGTGTATTTTGTAGTATTTAGAGAACAGTTAAATTGTTTTATGCTCTAATTAGTTAAATGTCTTATTCTTCTTCGTAATTCAACAGACTTATACCTAAAGAGATAAAACAGAAACTAAAACTACTAAAGTTACTAAAATGGTATTAGAAACGCCGTGTTTTGTACAAAAATCGCGCCATCATTTAGTTATGGCGATAGATTATCCGAGGCGTCCCTGAACGCATCGCTGCCTACGTCACCACTCGGTAGTTTACGGTCTCCAAACAAAAAGCCATCAACCCACCGGCTTTTCAGCTCAACAGGACTGACGGTGCATGAATGACCGAACAATTTGAAGTTGTTTCAAATTTAAACACAACATTACGGTGCTGTAAATTTATCCGCACCTCGGAGCAGAGTAAGTAACCCATTTATCCTGTTTATACTCCTGCTACTAGTGAATTTCATTAATTTAGCTTAGTTTTCGCAGTGAACCACAGCTCGGACCTGGTGGAACCAGTCCTCACCCATGATGCGCTCCTGTGTTTCCACTATAAACTGCTAATGCTGCCATTAGAAGACAAATGCGTTCACAGGTTTTTAAAAGTTCAGTAGAAAATGTACCCCTCAGAGGATTATTTCAAGACTGACCCACTTTATGACTTGTGTTTTGCAACACGAATGCATTAAAGTAACATCTAACCAAAAAAAGTTATTTTGTGCTGTTGATGAAAAGTGGTATTGATTAGAATAATGTAAGATGACAGATTGAATCAGACTACCTTCATGTAAAATCATCAGAGTCTCTTTATCTTTTGTTCATTTTGCATCTCATCCACCTGCACCAGCACATCAGATTACCACTAAATCCATTAGATCAGGTCTCTCTTGTAAATGAGTCCTCGAGGCTCAATGGGATTTACCTGTATAAATAAAGGTTGATTGATTTACCAGTGTAATCCAATATCTTTAGCAGAGTTCATCACATACCCCCTCAGTTATTGAAACATTGTTTGACCACCTTTGAATGCACCAACATTTTTCTTGCACTCACAGCAGTGGATTAAATGAACAAGCAGGGACTTAATCTGAGTTTGTTAGTGTAATTATTAATTCTGTAATATGCCCAACAAGCTGATGTGCCTGATTTAAAAAAAAAAAAAAAAAAAAAATTGGCAAACATTTGACTCTCATTTTAGTTTTTTAGAATATGACCAGGATGATAAAATATTAAATATCTTGGTTTAATTCAGTTTTAAATGCACTTTTTTTTAACCCTATAACACACATGTCAAACTCAAGGCCCAGTTTACATCTGGCCCTTGATAACTTCTTATCTGCTCACCCATGATGATATTTTAAACATAAAATATTTTTATCGCGTCTCATTTTGCTTAAAAAAAACTGAAAAATGGTTGATTTGTTCACCCAACCTAGATTTTGATGTGGAAAGCGCAACAACAAACACCAAGAAAAAGTGTCTATCTGACTTGAATTGGCTTGTGGCACATACCAAGTTTTAATTGTGGACTCTTACTGTAAATGTGGTTATTTCTATAATGAGCTGCATATAAATTAAAAAAAAAAAATAATAATGCTACAACCATAGATGGTGTGGGAATTCAAACTTTCTTTCTACAATCTTCCTACACCAAACAGTAAAAATGATTTTATCACTCTAAAAACATTGTTTTTACTCCATTTCCTATTTTTTTCCATCTGTGTGAGCATTTAAACAAGATAAGCTGTTATTAAATTCAGAGTGGTATGTATCAGCAAAGCTTTCGTTTAGCTTTAAAATAGGAATTCTTGTACAAGTTTGCACTCGGTGTATAGTGATAAATGATGTTTAGAAATCATTGATTCGCCTGGAACATCTTGCAGCCGATCGTTTTCTTGGTTTATGCTGGTGAACCGGCGAACAACAGGACCACTGTCCCGACAGCACTGCAGTTTTCAGAGCCCACTCCAGATTCCACTTGGACATTTTGACGCAGAGTGTCTGGATGAGTTGTTAAGGTCCACCTCTTCAGAGGAAACGCTCGTTTTTGCAGAGCTGCACTTTTTGTACACATTTATCCCAGTTAAAAGCAACAGTATTAGGCTTAATGTCATAGCTCTTCTTTCTCATCCAGTTTTGATTGTGATAAAAGTTGTTTGTTTTAAACTGATGGACATTCAATAATGCATTTTCTGCTTACACCGCTGTGTTTGCATGGCCGAGTTTTATAAAGTAAGCAAATACAGTGCAGGAAGTTGATTATAAAATGTGCCACTTGCGCATTAAATCTGCTTCGGTTTGTAGGAACATTTTTATGTGGCTTGAATCAAACATTTATCACTAACTGGCTGGATTTGGTCTGATTGATGAGGTTCTGCGCATGTCATTATAAACCTACGTCTAGCCTGTGTCCCAAACTCACCCTTGATCATTAGTGTTGATGATTCTTCAACTGTTCAGGTTCTGAAATGTTCAAAGCAATGTGCAGCAGCACAGCAGGTGTTTTAAATGTTTAATATATTTTAGTATAGATTCAGTACATGCTGTTCTTAATCAAACTCATAGGATAATTCAGTATATATTTATTTATTAACCTTTATTTAATCAGGTAAATCCCACTGAGATCACAGATCTCTTTTGCAAGGGAGGCCTGGGCCTGAAGGCAGCCTAACATGCATGTTTTTGTCAGTAACATTGACTATATATTACTTTGGCCATCATCTTATTGGGCTCTGACTGATGGAAGCTAGTTAGTGACTTAAAATCACAAGAAAATGGACAAACTTTGAGTTGAAGTCTGCAAAACTGTATTCTTGGCAGTGCACACTATTTTGTTGCTCACCTCCACCTACATTGTACTCTCCTCTGCATCTCTGTACCCACTTTGGCAGCCACCCCCACATTTAGGAGCTTATCTACAGGAGTACACATTTGAAATGCAATTAGGCATGGTTTAGTTTTTCCAGTAGTTATTTGTCGTTGATGTAATTAGACCTGGACATTTTGGGCGACGGACTGCTGTTTTTTTTTTTGTCATAGGAAAGCTCCAGTGCCAAAATACAGCTCTGAAGCTCTAAAAGTTTAGAAACTAAATTAAGATGGGCTTGAGATGCCTGTGATGCCTCTGTGACTATTATTAGAAAGAAAATTTGTTGCACAAATATATTTTTTTTACATTTTCAAAATTCAAATGACAAGACTGACCCCTGCAATTCATGCAAGGAAATTGAGAACCCCTCGCAACTGTTTGGAGAAATTTTGTAGACCCCCTCATGAATGCCACTTGCCAGCTAGTCTCAAACCAGTCACAAACAGATAAGATCCATTACTTATGTACTGGATTGTGTTGTTGTTGTTCGACTACATTTCTTTATTGTATGGGTATGTCCCATTTAATCTGTCTGGCTTTTCAGCTGTAACTCATAACTAATCTTAGAGGCTGACATCAGTTCAGATTTTGGGGTTTGTTTCTGTGGCTAGAGCAGATTCTGTGGCACTGGTCAAAAGGTCAGACTAGTTTTATAGTGGGTTGTTGCAATCGCAGCAGCATGAACAGACTGGCAGAAAAAACTAATTAGAAACAGCTAAGAAGCTAAAATAAACATGCATAACACTGCAGGAAGTTGTCATACTGCCAGATTATGTGGGATAGCCCCTCAAACAGTGGAGTAAGCCTGATTGTGGGCGTGTGTAGCAAATATAATCGTACAAAAAGGCAAACAGACGGGAGTAAACGGCTTCTTGAAGTGCATTTTTGTTGTCCTTCTCCTAAGGACTAGCTGAAGTCTAATATCTCTGCTCAAAGACTGCAGCACAACCATGTTTCTGTACATTATTACTTATTTCACGGTTATGTTTCTTATTTAGACCAGTGTTCTATTCTATAACCTAACTAGTGAAAACATCAGTTAAATATCCATCCATCCATTCATTATCTTTTACCTGCTTCTTCCATTTTGGGTCACGGGGGTTGCCGGTGCCCATGTCTGGCAATCACTGTGCGAGTGGGGGGTGGGGGGGCACCCTGGACAGGTCTCCAGTCCATCACAGGGCCACATGGAGACAAACGAGACAACCATTCACTCTCTCACTCACACCTATAGGGACAATTTAGAGTTACCAATCAGCCTAACATACATGTTTTTGGACTGTGGGAGGAAACCGGAGCACCCGGAGAAAACCCACGCATGCACGGAGAGAACATGCTAACTCCACCCAGAAAGGCCTCCAGACCAGGATTTGAACTGGGTACCTGCTCGCTGAGAGGCAGCAGCTCTACCAGTTGCGCCACCGTGCTGCCCTCCAGTTAAATATCCTTTAAATATAACTGACAGCCTTTCGGTTAGCTGACAGAGTTAGTGCCTACCTTTTAAATATGTGTATTTGAAGATACATTCTTGGGAAGGCTTGTAGTAAAGTGCTGCCATCCATTCAGAGATTTTGAAGTGATGTTTGCATTCTCAGCTCATTGTCTTTGAGATGCTTGTGTCTAGGAATGAAGACGGTCCACAAGTCTGATGGTGAGCCAACTCGGGTGTGGTTTGGGTGTCATCTTTGGTGCTGACAATGATGTCAGTGTTCTGGTTTTGCTGGAATGTGACCCTGAACTCTGGAGTAAGTTGGTATTTAGTGTCACAACTTGCATGAAGGCCAGCACTTACAAATCATTCATGGTTACTTTACGTATTAATCCTGCGTCACTGGGCAGCACAGTGGCACAACTGGTAGAGCTGTTGCCTCCCAGCGAGCAGGTCGCCCCGGTTCAAATCTCAGCAAGGGGGTCTTTCTGGGTGGAGCTTGCATGTTCTCTCCGTGCATGCGTGGGTTTTCTCCGGGTACTCCTGTTTCCTCCCACAGACCAAAAACATGCATATTAGACTGATTGGTAACTCTAAATTGTCCCTAGGTGAGAGTGAATGGTTGTCTCATTTGTCTCTATGTCCCTGTGATGGACTGGAGACCTGTCCAGGGTGTCCCCTGCCCCTCGCACAGTGAATGCTGGACATGGGCACCGGTGACCCCCGTGACCCAAAATGGAAGAAGCGGGTAAAAGATAATGAATGAATGGATGGATGGATATTTTGTTTTTTTGCAGAAATTATATTTTCATTAAGGTTAATGTATCTAATAAGTTATTAACCTCATCAGATATAGATTTTTCCAAATGTGTGTTGATTTAACCTAAATCATTACCCCTCATTGCCTCTGTGTGTCCCATCAGTGCATGAATGTGATGAAGCTCTGATTGTTCTCTGTAGGGATCTGGTAGAGTGCTGTATGAATGAGTAAATGAGGACACGGACTGTAGTGTAAAGAGCTCAGAGTGTCTTGATAAGATGGAAAGGTGCTATATAAGTACAGCCAATTTACCATGTATTTTCTTGATATTAACATTTGTATTGGTTGATGGGTTAAATAAGGTGAGTGGTTGTGCAGGGAGCAAACAAGTGTAGGTAATGAGGGCAAACAAATAGTCATTTTAAGCTTTAAAATCTGTTTTCCGTGTATAATTTTGACCTAGCTTCATGGATTTCAGTAAGCCTAACAAAGTTCCTGTAAGGAGCTCAACCTTCACATGTAACCCTTTGTGCTTTATACTACCATGTGATGAAGTAAAATAGCCAACGATAATAAAGTTTTGCACTTACTGACACTGTAACTTAATATGTAAAACAGGCAGGGCACTAACTCAGCCCATCTGGATATTTGACTACTCTTGCTGGTACTTGAACATATCAGTCATGTCAGAAGCTTCTTTGTTTGACTTCAGCCTCCGAGTCGCTGCTGACATAAAACTCATTTGACTGCAGATGGTGATAGTGGTGTTTCAGCAGACCTGCGACTGGTTTGGTCCTGATCGCTCATGATGCGAAACGGTTTCCTCTCAAAGCTCAGACCATGGGACAGTAGCTACACCTCCGACATCTTTCGCATGCAGTAGTTGAACGGAAGCCGTTTTTGTTTCTAGCTGACTCAGTGAGACATCGTTGATTAGTGTATGTCTGCGTTCTTCTTTTTATGAGTTATGGGTACAGCTTCAGTAGATTTCCCCATGGTTGCTCATTGAAAACATCAAAACAAACCCTTTTGTTGCATTTTTCATTCAACCTATATTTATACAGGTCATGCTCATTGAATCACGAGGACTCATTTACAAGAGAGACCTGTAATTTAATGTATAAAATGTTTTATTTTTTAATCTCGGTACACTTTAGTGACACTAAAAATTTATAAAAGAACAGATATTTAGATTTTACATATCATATCTGGTGGGTTTTCCTCTCTTTCACGAGTGTATGGCCCATCCACTGCTCTTAATATCTGTGGACCGTTGGTCTGACATTTTACAGTGTTACAGATAATTGTCTCCTCATATTTGTTGATGAAGGTCAGATGCTGAATTACTCATTAATTGTTGTGTGATTTTCATTTAGTTATTGTCGTGAAAGGTTTTGTTTGGTCTGGAGACAGTGGCATTGGCAAAAAGACGGGAGAAAGAACTGGAAGAGGCAGAAATGAAGATGTTGAGGGGGTGACAAGGATGGATAAGATTAGGAATGAGATCATCAGAGGTGCAGCACAGGTTGAACAACTGGGAGATAAAAGTTAGAGACCAGACTGAGATGGTTTGGACATGTCCAGAGGAAGGACAGTGGGTATACTGGTAGAATGTTAGAAATGCAGCTGCCAGGAAAAAGACAGAGGAGATATATGGATGCAGTTATGGAGGACATGGAGGGAGTTGGACAGAGGACAGAGTGAGATGGAGGAGGATGACTCGCTGTGGAGACCCCTGAAGAGGGAAAAGCCAAAAGTAGAATAAGATGAAAGGTTGTGTTTGTGTTTGGTCTTGATTGTTTTTAACTTTTAGTATAGGTGACTTTCTTGTTTCTGCTGCTCAACAGATTTTCTCAGCACATAGTACTGTAATACTGAAGTAATACTTAGAATGATGCTAATGAGTACAGGTAAATAAGCCATGCTTCAAGCTGTCTTTAACCACTTACCGGTATGTATTATTTCTCATATGTTTGTTTTTGTTTTGGTCTCTGAGTCCTTAAATAATAATCACCCCACTTTGCTCTGCTGAAACAACTCGGTCTTTGTTATCCTTTAATCCCAATTCTCCTTTTTTTTCCCCAGTTTCTACACACTTAACCAGCTGTAAGAAGGCTGCTCCTCCACCAGTGCCTCCGCGCACAACCTCCAAGCCCTACATCTCTGTGACGGTACAGAGCAGCACGGAGTCGGCACAGGACAACTACTTGGACCAGCAGGACAGGAGGTCAGAGGTCAACAGCCAGTCGAGCCACGCTCACAGCAACTCTTCTGACAGCCTCGACAGCACCCGTGCCAACAGCCTCGCCCGAGGCATTCCCCGTCCTCCACACATCATTCCAATTCCCGTTGCTACCCCGAGGGACCCGATCACCCCCAGCACCGCCAACGCTTCCACTGAGACGAGTGACTCAGTGGTCCATCACGAATCTGTCAAATCTGGATCTAATAAAGGGAATCTAACAGCAGAGGAGCCTTTTGTTGTCCCAGTGCAGAGAAGGAAACTGTCTTCCATTGGGATACAGGTAAGCAGACGCCTTTTGACTCCTTCACTAATCAAGGTTAGTATTGATCAGTCAGTAGTGTCGCTGTAAGTGAAAATATACTGTAATATTCCGTGTAATGTCAGATTAACTAAAGCTGATTCCACGTGGAGCTTTACCCTATATGTGCCTACTCCTGTCCCATTCTCCTTCATTTAAACTCTCAAAGAGTGGGGGTTAAAGTATTCAACATACAGCATGGGGCACCTTCAGGAAGTCGACACACCATTGGTGGTTTCAGATTTATTTTATGTTAACAGAAGTGATGTTAATATTCTAATAAATGGTGACAAATGGTGTGTAAAACTACAGTAGTTACGGCATTATAGAGACTTTATCATGTTGTTGTTTTTTTTGTTTTTAAGATAATTACTGCAAAAGTACCAAATATTATTTACTTTTGAATTTACTGAACTAAACATTACAATGTTTTTTTTTTTTGTTTTTTTGTTTTTTTGGCTGCTCCCTGCGTTGGGGGTCGCCACAGCGAACCAAGTCACACGAAGACTTGGCAGTTATTTATTTTTACGCCAGATGTTCTTCCTGACGCAACCACAGCCACCGAGCTACCACAGCCCTCTGTGTGGAGCAGAGAGCTGCACCCGGAGGAGCAGATGGTGGGGGTTAAGGGCCTTGCTCAGGGGCACAGAGTGGGGCTAATGAGGATGGGGGCAGGTGTGGGTGCTTCACCTACCCCACCCACATTTTTGATGATGTCGGTACTGGAGCTTGAACCGGCGATCTTCCGATCACAGGCCCACCTTCTCTAACCTCTGCACCACCACTACTCTACATTACAATGTTTATTGAGACAAAAACAGTTTTGCTAGTTAAAATTTTTACTGTAAGTTATAATGAGCATTGATGCCAAACAACAAGAGAAATTGCATTTTCTGCGAACATGCAGTGTGAATGCTTATTGCTGAAGAACTTGCTGAAAAAACAGCTGAAATTAGCTAAAAAACAAACATGCTGAAATCTAGCTGAAGTGGAAGAACAAGCCTAAATTAGCAGAAGAAATAACATATTTTTGATGAATAGGTTTAACTAAACAGAAATGAACACAAAAATTAGGAAATTAGCTAAAAATAAAGGCTGGAATTAGGAAAAAAAATAGCCGAACAGTAAATGAAATGCGTAAATTACCAGAAGGAAGCGGAAAGGGCTGAAATGAGCTAATTAAATGCAGAATTGGATTAAAAAGCTTAAATTATTATAAAAACAGCTAAATAGTAACTGAAAAAGCAGAAATTATCAGAAAAAGTTGAAAGGAGCATAACAAGCTGAAATTAGCAGAAAGAAGTTAATTAGGCTGAAAGTATCATAAACTGCCAAGAAAAACTTGAAGATGGATGGATGGATGGATGGATGGATGGATGGATGGATGGATGGATGGTGTTGCATCATTTTCAGCCCCTTTTTGGCATCTGTATTTGGTAGCAGGCCAAACTGACAAAGACGATGCAGAATAATGTAGTATTTTAATTCCACTGCAGAGAATGCTATGTAGTCTCTGTACGAAGGTCTAGGGAAAAAATATTGGTATCGGTTATTTGCGAAATAAGTTTTAACATATCGGCCAAAAATCTAAATCGTGCATCCCTAATATGTTGCGTATCATTGGGCACTTTTAAGTGGGTGTAGTGAAATTCTTAAGCTTTTCTATTGGGTTTACTCCATATGCCTGAGTATTACGCAGACTGCACCACTGTCAGCAACATCTCAGCCCTGAACTGTGCTGCAGCCTAAACCAAACCACTGTCCGTCATTCATGCTTGTTGTTTCTGACTACAGCTCCATGTACTGTACGCTGTATACAAGACACATACGAAACTATTACTTTCTGCTCCATCTTCACTGAAATAACTGCATGTTATTCTTAATTCTGGACCTTAACTAAGAATGTCTCCTTTTCTAATTATATTTTTTTACATTTTTAATGGGAACTAAACTATCATTCCAGTTCTAGTTTTAGCTTTATAGAATTTGTTGTCAATTATATAAATGCCTTCATTGCCCTTTTTTTTTGTGTCTGTTTTTGTTTAATTTCAAGGTTGACTGCATTCAGGAAGTTCCCAGGGAAGAGACCCCTCCACTGGCCAGATTCCAGTCAATAGGAGTGCAGGTGGAGGACGGGTGGCAGTAAGTCCGCTTCCTGTCCTTTTAACAACGTGAGGAATTTATATTATAGCCACACACATTCCTCTGACTGTTCCGCCCTTTCACGGGACCTTTGTAGATGTGAACTCATCCTGAGTGTCTGTGTTTGTGATGTTGCAGCACATTTTTTTTCCACAAGCATTTACTATTTAAAGTTCCCCTCCAGACACGTTTTAGTATGTATAACTGCTCTACTTCAAAGTGCATGTTTGTGTCATTCAGGAAATTAATTTACCGAAACATTCAGTTACTCAAGAAATTCATCAACTGAAATCTCGACTTGACAAGTCCAGATTCTGTCATTTATTGTCGACACAGATGAATGTTCAGGTTTCCCCAGAACATTAACCAGCACATTCTGTCAGGAAAACCCTGGTGAGGTATTTTCAGATTGGCAGCAGTTTAATTTCATGCTGGTCCTTCACCAAGCAGCTGCTCACAATGATCCAACACCTTTTTGGAGTGGAGGGAGACTTTAAATGTGTTTCTGCTTTTTGGTGTGACCAAGAGTTTTGTTTTCTATCGGCTCTCTACTTTTTCGTCTTGATGCTGTACACAAGGTGCAAAAAGAATCAAAAGTGGTCTAGCACATCACATGTCCGTCTTAGTGCTTGCGGTATTTCATTGACTGAACTGCAACTGGTGTGTGTTTTCTGACTGGTAACTGGAAATAGTCATTAAATATTTTTTTTAAGACCAAGAGCTCAAAGGATGCAAGTCTGGTTGCTCTGCCATTCTGAAAATGGCAAATATATTACCATAAATAAAGTTGCACGGTTTCCTTTCTAAAGTTTTCAAGATCCTTGAGCCATCTAATTAAAAAAAAAAAAAAAAATTTGTGTGCTTTTAAAATGTTTGGCCAAAAATGCCAAATCTTGTTTTACGGATTATTCTTATTTCTCTTGATGAATGTCAACTTGTTTTGTTTCAGGCCCAGTCGCTTGAGCAGCATGGCCTCAAAACAAGACACTGACTCAGACACGCAGGACATCTCCATCATTTCCCATATCATCAACTCCAAACCCCTTGAGAAGAAAATCATGGTCAACAGTGCCAGTCAGTCCCTCAGTTCCCCTCCTGGACAAGACTCTTTAGACAACGGAGACCCCACTGGTGACGCCTCGTCCCCACCGCTCCCCAGGCAGATCCTCAATCGCTCCACCACACGAAGTAGCTCCTCCTCTTTCTCAGAGAGCTTGGATCCAGCGCTGGATCCCTCGTCTCTGCCTCCTCCAGACCCCTGGCTGGACAGTGGGAATGGGAATAACGGCAGCGTCTCCCAGAGTGGAGGAGGAGGGACGGGAACGCTCTGCCGGAGAGATGGCCACTGGTTCCTGAAGCTGCTGCAGGCTGAGACGGGACGCATGGAAGGCTGGTGTCAGCAGATGGAGCAGGAAGTCAAAGACAACCAGCTGTCAGAGGAAGGTAGGGATGGCATCAGACTCACTGGAGCTACAGCGTTTTCTCAATGTTCCTCAGTATCAGCTGGGAAATGCTGCATTGTGGGAAAACTGGTCTAACCCCAACATTTGGGCATTGAATGCTATCCCATTATCCCCAATGACTAAATCACTGATCATCTCTGGTTTTGTGTCTTCTTTTAAAACACTTCCTATGGTTTTTATGGTGCATGAAAAATAAACAGTTGTGTTTTATGTTTATGAGCCAAAACGAACAAATCAGTTTTATAGATTTGCCAACGCCAGTCCTGCTTTGAAAACTCCGTGTTGTGTCGAGCGAACGCTGAATGATGACTTGGTGCGTTGCTCAGTGTTTGACCTTCGCTCGTGGTGCACATTTCTGTTGCCCTGCTTTTCATTAGTCCCTACAATCAGCACGTTGGACCAACACAGCGTGGGAGGGATGAGGCTGTAATACCTGGGGTTACCACACACAAGCAGCCCTGTAATCTTCAGAATTACACAAATCTAGTCTGGAACTGATTAAACCGCCAGATTAGATTAGTGTTTCAACATCAGCCTGAAACATGCAGCAATGAGCGTACATGCAAAGCACATGCAAACTGTCCTACGGCTTGTGACGCTCAGTCTTTGTCAGAAGTGGCTGATCATGATGCGGACAAAAGGTCCCGCGTTTCTGTGCAAGTCTGTGCTCATATCTTGAGTTTCATTCAAACCTGCAGTGCATAAGTGTGATGTTGCCACACTGTAACCTCCCCATCATAGCTTCGAAACTGTCCCAATTTGGTCAAGGCTAGATGTCTGTAGAAAGGATCAAATTGTGCAATACTCTTATGTGCTTCATGCCACCCTGTGGAGCCTGTTGGACAAAGCTGCTCAGGACACGCCTCCATCTGAACTGAAGTTTGCTCTTTATGTTGTTGTTTTTTTGTGACACTAGAGTTTCACTGAGGCTCTTGATCTATGAGGGATACAGCTATGTTGTCACACCGCAACTCCTGACCATGCACTGTTCTATTCCCTCTCACTGTAGTGCTGGGAAAAGTTCGCAGCGCTGTGGGAAGCGCTCAGCTCCTGATGTCTCAGAAGTTCCAGCAGTTCCGGGGACTGTGTGAACAAAACCTGGTGTGTATTCTGTCTCCGTCTTTGACGTTTCAACCTTACTTACTTAGCTTCCACAGGCATGAAACTCAGATGCACAGTTGGTAGCAAACAAAAACTGGCATTACGTTTTAAATGTTTGGGGTGGGGGGGGTTAGTTTTTTTTTTATGCTCGAGCTGTTTGGCTTTGTGATCATAAAGGATTTTCTCCACATAAGTCAACTAATCTGTTTAGAGAATTGATGAGCTGCACATCAGAAGCCTTCGTGATGATCCACCAGCACAAAATACAAGGAGCTTATAATAATCTCTTGCTCTCAGATTATTTGTTTTAGAGAAAATTAGCATTATGTAAATTGTAGCCAACAACCAGCACGTGATGTTTTTTTTTTTTTCAAAAATCTGTATTGAATTTTTAGCAGTTGAAACAAACACAGCTCAAACATTCTGCGAGATAAACGGTGATAGTATTGATTACTTAAGCACCGTGTTTAAACCAAATTAAAATAACAAATACAAAACGAGAAAGTGCCCCTCACAGAATCTTGATCATAATGCAACCGCACATCATCAGTGCATCTTAGGAGAATTATTTGTATTTTAGGAACCACAGTGCACGCCTCCTTCAGTCATTTGCACTGTCTTCTGGCATGTTCAAGTCTTTAACACACATATTGAAGGGACTCCATATACACTCGATCAAGTCCTGTTTTCCCTTTAATGCATGTGTAATCTCTTCCAGAGGACGAGCAGATAACATCTGTTGGATCCATTGGTTGACAGTCGGTCTATGAGTCTTTTCTCAAATTTATGATATACATCTTTTTCCACTGAGCAAAAGTTTATACATTGTAGTAGAACATATGGATGTAGTAGAACATATGGATGAGATATATTCATACTGTTAAAACGGATTCTTTCATTTTTCTGGACTGTATAATGTACGTGCATTGAATGTAATAAAATGTGGACGTGAGACGTTAATTATCTTTGACTCACTACGACAGTGGGTCATTTATTAACAGAATCAAGTTTAACACATCACACATTTACATTAATTGGCAAGAATTGAGAATAACGACATAATTAATCAGCTTTACAACCAGGAAAACCATACGGCCATGATTTTCCGTTGCTTCACCACAGACATTTCTGAAAAACATCTGGATTAATTTGCTAGCAGATAGGAGAGTTTAAAGATGGAAAGATGAAGTTTAGAGGGGAGGGAGATGGTGTGTGAGGTAAAGTGTTGACCAGAACGACACCCTCCATTCAAACCCAGCTTTCCTCGGTACACTCGGTAGTAAACTCGACTCGTTACCTCTCTGAAGATGAATCAGCGGATACGGAGTTCCAGTTAACGCTACCGGTCCAGCGTCTCCGTAGGATGGCTGTGAATCGTCCGAAGTAGTGACGGTATTCCGTCCGACACGGTTCACCTCACGAGTGGACTCACATGAGTGGAGTCCGTCAGAGTTCCACCCAGATGTGGAAGAAAGTTATAATCCCATAAGACTCGGAAGAGCTCTGTGGTCATGTCAGGATTTTCCTGTTTCCCAACTCGCCTCCAAACTCTACTGTCGACTCAAAACTTCTCCAGTTGAACTAGGAAGTACCGACATTTTAAAGAGCTCTATTTCCGGTTCATCTGGGAGTTTCTGATTGGTCAATGGACCCAAACAGAGGTGTGTTTTGTGATGTAAGGTGTTATGAAAAGTCAAGGAAAAGATCAAGATTGTTTAAGAACAGACAGAAAGATTGTTATGGAGAATTCAGACTTTGTGGAGCCACCTCTTCCAGTATCTTGCTGTAAAAATTAAACATGACATTTCTTTTCAGTAAACTTTCAGTTGACCGAAACTTGAACTTTGACACACTTACAACTTCGCTCATTGAAGACAGAAAATCAAGAAATGCATATTAACCTGATTTCTTCTTTGAATGAGGATTAAGAATCATTATTACTATTTCACAGTTGATTTAAATGATCAGTTCACTTCAACATTTAAAAATGGTTTGAACTAAAACACAATTTGATTATCAAAACATTTGTAAAATAGTAATGATCATAGAGAATAGTCTTTTTTTTTTACTTGATTGATTCAAGAAAGAAAGTCTCAGGATGGGTCAACCTGTATTTCTGGATGCAAATCAATGAAATGACAAGTTATGTCCCAATGGTCCTTGGGTCAAGGTTTTGACCTTCAGGTCTAGTTCACTACAACATGTTCATTCTTAGTGTAGTTGTGTTTTTCTGGGTACAGTCCAAACGAAAACAACTTTGGATCCAATATTGTTTAGAAATTATTTCCTCAATTACATCCTTTACTTCATTGTACAGTGAGCCAGCGTCCCCCTGTCTTCTGTACATTTTGGACATACATCATGCATCTCCCTATTAAGTTCTGCACATGATATTTTGGTGATAAATGTCTCTCACACAGTTTGGTCAGAACATGAGACCAGATCACGTGGAGTCGGTCTGAACAATTCAAGCTGCAGCTGGTTTCAGAGGACAGGACTACAGCAGGGTGCTGTGTGTGTACAAAGCAGTGAAACGTTAAATTAATTAATTGAACAGCAGATTCTAGATGATCTTCATGGTCTTTTTATAACTATCGAGCAGCACTGTAACAAACAATTTAATAAAGCTGTGGTTATGGTTTTTGTTTTGGTTCATGTTTAACCATCATTAATTGTTATGCAGCTCTCCCTAGTGGTGACTGAGCATAGAAAGAGCTAATAAATGTGTAAATATGACGCTGCACAAAGACGAGCATTATTACAGTTATGCTGTGTTTTCATTCATAAAGTACAGCACAGATGGTTCTGGAGGTATACAAACTAACTTGTTGGCTTTTAACTAATTTTTTAATGATTATTATTAGGTGTAATGTTTTCCTTTTTGTTGTTGTGGCTTTAATAGCGATAAAACAATCCAGTCCTCTTTAACCGCTGAGGTTGGACATATTGGAAATGAAGAAAATAATTTCAGTAAATGTTAACAGGACCAACTGAACAACAGTGTGATGTTGTGAAAATGTGCAGCGAGTTTGGACAAACTCTACACTTCGCAGAAACCAGTGCATTTCTGATGGATTCTGTCCTGGGAATTCACAAAATAACCATATGAGCGCTGATAGTCTCACACTGAACAAAGTAATTACATTTTAGACTTGCCAAAAAACTGACATCTTTTGTTGGGTTGTGCTGATTAGATGTTTGTTTTAAATATTAAAGATACATCTGCCAATAACCTTGGTTTTCTTCCACCCTTTCTTACAAGGTAGCATAATACAAACTATCTGACATGTTATGATGAAGTTTGAGGTGAGCTAATGTTTTATGACTAGCTGAATTTCGTGTAGATCAAAAGGGTAAACATGCACCTTTAAAACTGACGGATCACAATATAAGCTTATTTTATTTACAAAGGAAAGGGATTGCTTTACTTTGCTGACTTTTCAAAAGAACTTTGGATAAATGGCAAATGCTCCCTCTTTCAAACTTAGTAATGCTATTGCAGTATTTTCTATTGAGTTTATTTATTTATTAGCGCCAAGTCACAACAGAAGTCGTCTCAGGGCACTGAACAGAAACATCCATACATAAAAATAATTAACACTATATCAGAGGAGCAGACTGTATTGAATTTAGCTCCATCGCAGAACTCTCATATTGAGCAAGCATGAAGGCGACAGTGGAAAGGAAAAACTCCCTCATGAGGAAGAAACCTCCAGCAGAGCCAGGCGCAGGACAAGCGGCCATCTGCTTCGACCGGCTGGTTTGAGAGGAACTGGAAGGATGAACAGATACACAATGGCAGGTCAAGGATCACATGTTAAGCTAGAAATAGTGTCAAATTAAAACTACTCAATTTGAACAATTAATTTAAGGAAGTATGGTCAATTTGTCCTCCAGAAGTCTAAGCTTAAGACAACATAACAAGACAAACCTGACTATAGGATTTATCAAAAAGGAAAGTCTTAAAACTGGACAATGTGTCAGTCTTACAAACAGAAACAGGAAGTTGGTTCCACAAGAGAGGAGCCTGCGAACTGGAAGATCTTCCTCCCATTCTGCTTTTGGAAACTCTAGGGACCACAAGTAAACCTGCAGTCTGAGAGAGAAGTGCTCTGTTAGGAAAATATGGAACAATAAGATCTTGAATATAAGATGGAGCTAGGTTGCTGAGAGCTTTGTAGGTTAGAAGTAAGATTTTGAATTCAATTCTGGATTTGACAGGGAGCCAATGGAGAGAAGCTAAAACTGAAGACTTTAAAAAGTAGTCATCCTTTTTTCTCCTCTGTCAGCGTTTCTCTATTTTCTGCTCTTGTGTCTCCTTTGTTCAGAATGTGACAGCCAGCCCGCGGCCCACAGCTCAGGACCTGGCTGGCTTTTGGGACATGCTGCAGCTCTCCATCGAAGACATTAGCCTCAAGTTTGATGAGCTCTACCATCTCAAGTCCAATGATTGGCAGCCCATGCCATCTGCTGCTGCCCAGTCGCCCCCAGAGCGGAAGGTACTTCCCACCTATGCTGCCCAGTGCCCTGGCTGGGGTAGGAAAGCCGCCGTAACCGGCCTCTCTCCTCCCACCACCACCATCATTTCTCCCGCCCTTTTATTATTTTTTTTTACTTGGTTCCAGCGTGGAATGAACTCTAACAAGACTTCCCTGGCTAACATAGAGGATCCCTCTAGGCATGCATGTGGAAATAATCGTTTCAAAGAGGGCTGACACTGGTGTGTTTTCAGGCATAAAGCCCTACTTTGAGCATGCATGTCATTTTCCTGTTCGTGTCTGTGTGTGTGTTGCAGTGGAGCATGGCTAAGATGCACTGGCTCATGTGACAGAATGCAGTCTTGCTTTTGCTCTTTAAACAGTCACATCTGTGTTTATGTAGCTGTTCTGTGTGCTTTGATTATTAACACCCACCTCTTTGTTGTCTGCGTTATCTGAAACTTTAAAAAGGTGTTTTTAACCAGCCGCTGCAGTTTTTGCTGTGTGTTGCTTATGGAGTTGGAGCATTGTCACATCACTTGATTCTCTGTAAAGGTCCCCATCCCCTTTTTGGGTGAAAACAAACTACTGGTGTCAAAATAGAATTAAGTAGGAATTATTTTTGTCCACCGGTTATTTGACTTATTTGCTTATTTCTTTTCTTTCTTTTTTTGGCTTATTTAAATAAAAAGGGGCAATTATGAACTGATGCATGCTCAGTAATACAGGTAGATGAATCATGTCCTCGGGACATGTTCTTCTTTGTTGAAACGTTTCGTCTTTTATCCAAAAGACTTCTTTCAGTTTGAGGAGCTACAACAAATTATAAGCAGTACCTTCTCTTAGTGGATCAACCAGTTTGTTGTTGACAATCAGAACTTGCTGTTCACATGTAAGAGGAGGACCATCAGCCTAACAATTGGTTGTTAGTGCCCTGATGGCCGCTTGCTATTCACAGAAGGCTATGATGCTAGCAATAACAGCATGTGATAATTGAACACGGAGGCCTCCGCCCCTGTTTAATGATGGACAGGTTCTGTTCACAAAGATGTCTTCCTTTACTCCTCTCTCAAACCATCATCAAGGAATCTGTGTTCTGTATTTGATGTTCTGAACGGCCAACTAAAAGGATGAGTACAGAGGCCAGATATTTGGAAACATTCAGTGATGGATCTAAAAAAGTTAAATCTGGTCCTCTGGACATTCAAAAAAACCCCAAAACAAAACAATTGTAGAAACGTTTCGTCTCTCATCCGAAAGACTTCCTCAGTCTGAGGTGCTGTATTCAGCTCAGTCTTATAAATAGCACCTTCTCAGAGTGGATCAACCAGTTTGCTGCTGACAACCAAAACCAGCTGATCACATG